GGAAACTGTTTTGTTCTTTACATTTATATAGTGCTTTAAGGTATAAAAAATGTTTTACATTATTGTCTCAGTTGAGCTTAACAACATCCCTGTGAGGAAGGTATGGCAGGCTTCTTTATCGCATTTTATAGAGGAGGAACTGAGACTCAGAGAGCTGCCTTCTCTTTCCTTTCCATATCACTAAGTTGACAAGTCTTGTTGATTCTCCCTCCATGACATCTCTCACTTATGTTCCCTTCTCTCTGCTTGTAAGGCATGGCTACCGCCTTTTTTGTTTTTGTCTTTTTGCTTTTTGGTGAGGCAGTCAGGGTTAAGTGACTTGCCTGGGGTCACACAACTAGTGAGTGTCAAGTGTCTGAGGTCAAATTTGAACTCAGGTCCTCCAGACTCCAAAGCCAGAGTTCTATCCACTGTACCATCTAGCTGCCCCCATGGCTACTTTCTTAGTTCTGCTCTCGATCACTTGTGGCCTGGACTGTTACAGTAGTTAACTACCCGGTCTCTCTTTAGTACCTTTCCTCTCCAATTCTCCCACAAACTGACAGATTTAATATTCCTAAGGTATAGGTCTAACCAAGTTATTATCCTGCTCAAAAAGCTTCAGTGACTTCTTGTTACCTCTAAGATAGGGGGAGAGAGACTGGACATGTGACTTCAGGGACACTCCCACCACCAATGCAAGTTACCTGGAGCACTGAGAGACTTCTCTAGGGTCACCCAGCCAGGGCGTCTAGAAGCGGGACCTGAATCCAGGGCTTCTTGGTTCGCAGGCTGGCAATACTACAGCTGCCTCACCACAAGGATAAAATGTAAAATCTTCAGCCTGGCATTTAAAATTGTTCAGAGTCTGGCTGTCACCTCTCTTTGTAGATTGATTTCACATTACTCTTCTTCATAACTTCTGAACTTTTTCTATGTGTTTTATTTGCTCTTCCCCATGAATGACATTGCATCTTCTGTAGAAAGGAAACTTGTTTGAGGAAACTGCGTCAGTCATCTCAGGGTTTTATATCCAAAATATATAAGGAATTAATAAAAATATATAGGACCAAGAGTCATTCCCAGTGGGTAAATGGGCAGAGAATACAGCTTTCAAAAGACCAACTACAAGCTATTAACAGCCAAAGAAAGATTGTTTTAAATCACTAACAACAAGAGAAACAAGGAACAACTCTTAGGTTTCCCCTCACACAGCAAATTGACAAAGATGACAAAAGATGGAAATAGTCAATGATGGAGAGGCTGTGGAAATACAGAACACTAATACATTGTTGGTGGAGCTGCATATTGATTCAACATGCTGGAAAAACTATTTGAAATTGTGCAAAAAATGTGACTAAAATATTTAAGATCCCACTATTATACATATTTTATATTATACGTATTATACATATGTGCAAATTAGGTCTTGGACAGAAAGTTTCCATGTATATCTCAATACTCATAACAGTCCTTTGCATTGTGGCAAAGACTTAGAAACAAAGTAAGTGCCCTTCTATTGGGGAAAGACTGGACAAATTGTAGAATGTTAATGTAATGAGATATTACTGTTACATTGTAATAAATGATGAATATCAGAATTCAGAGAAATTTAGGAAGATTCATGTGAACTGATAATGCCAAATGAAATGAGCAGAACTAGGAAAACAAAATAAACAATGAAGGGCAGAAAAAACCGGTCAAAAGCTAAACATTGTGTAATTTTAATGACCAAGCTTGAATCTGGAGAAGAGTTTAGAAAATGCATTTCTTTTCATTTCAGAGGAGGTGGGGCGTGATATAGAATATTGTACCCACCGGTGGACACAAGTGACATGTTGTTTGGTTTTGCTTAGCTTTTTAAAAATTACCTTTGTTGCGAGGGGTGGGGAAAGAGATTTATTAGGAAATGAATGTATCATAAAAACAAAAGGAATCAATAAAAAAGTTTTTAAAGCCAAATATGTACAATTATATCCAAAGTAATTTCTGGGGTAGGGCCTTTGTAGCAGATTAGATCAGGCTTTCTGTAGGGGGTGGGTGGGGAGGGGGGCTGAGTTGGCCTGAAGAAAGCTAGGTGAGAAGGGAGAAGGTGGAGGCAATGGGGATGGAGAGCTTGTTTGTGAAGGTGACTATAAGACAGTTCTTCCTAACTCTGAGTCTATAACCCTATGATCGATACAACTCATTGTTGTCCTAAGCTGCCTTACAGTTTAGCCAACTGGAATATATATAGCTATAATCTCTTTAATCTAAAGTGATGCCAAAGAGATCTATTCACTTAATAAATGATTAATAGAACATTGTGCAGTGATTTCTCCCCTCATGATTATGCTCATCTGCACGTGCATCTGACTGGGATAAGGTACTTTTACATTGTTTCTGACCACCTGTGTCCACAAATTCCATTTCAATTCAATTCGATAAACATATGTTAAGTGCATGCCGTGTTCCAGACCTGGGAAAATAAAGATAAAAATAAAGCAGCCCTGACCCTCAGAGAGCTTACATTCTATGGGGGAGATGCAATATAAAGTTTCCACATATCTCAATTCTACGGTCACACAAGGAAGTATTTGTAATCCCCTGCTATAAGTCAGACCAAGACAGTTTGAGGAGAACAGAACAGTAACAGCTTGGCGACATCAGAAAGGCTTTGGTTAGAGATGGCGCCTGAGCTAAGTCTTTAAGGGAGCTAGGTGTGATAGGAAATAGAAGACGGGGTGGAGGGAATTCTAGGCATGAGAGATACCCATGAAAAAAAAGATTGGAGTCAGGAGATAGAATGTCAGGGTCAGGGAACAATCTAGTCTAGGACTTGGCCAGAAAACAGGGTGTTGATGGAATGGAGGGAGGATAGGTTAATCTGAAGGAAGTCAGGAAGGCCTTAAATGCCAGGCTGAGAAGTTTGTATTTCATCCTAGAAGCAAAAGGGAGTTGCTGCAGGTTTTTGCAGAATGAAAAAAGGCCATTGAATTGGGTAATTAGGAGGTTATTGGTGACTTTAGCATTGTTTACTAGAGCAGTAAGTACACTGGGGAGAGGGGCTTGAGTTTGTCAGTTTGTTCTTAAACTCGGAGGCCCATGAATGAGCCTTCACATGAGATCTAATCAGGGCATCCAGAAGAGGGTTAAGTCACCTACCCTGTTCTGGACACTTTGCCTGATTAATGCAGGCTAATAGTACATCAGCTACTTGGGCTGTGACATGGCCGGATGGAATGGATTAGAACACTGGACTTGGAGTTGGAACAGCCTGGACTCCAACCTGGACCCGTGTCCAACATTAGCTGTATGACTCTAGGCAAGTCACCTAACCCCTGCACCTCAGTTTCTTCATCTGTAAAATGGATATGAGAATAGTACCTACCACACAGGGGTATTGGTGACCCGTGATGAAGTGTGATAATGTATTTAAAACACTTTGTAAACCTTGGGGTAGTTCGGGGCCTCAGCAGGCCTCTCTGGTGTTGGCAGTGCAGTCCCTTCTGCCTGGTCTCCCTGCCTCAGGTCTTTGCACCCTTCATTTAGCTGCCAAGTGTCACCACACTCCTTCCCTGCTCCAGGTCACTGGAGAGAACTTGGTGGCTCTCTGTGACTTCCAGGGTAAATTATAAAGTCTTCTCTTTGGAATTTAAAAATCTCCTTAACCAGCCCCCTTTCTGTCTGTGCTTGCTTCTTACACTTCACTCCCTTCCATCCGCTGCAATCTGGTCACACTGGCTTCCTTGCTCTTCTGCAGACAGGACACTCCATCCCCCATCTCCATGACTGCGAAGGCTCTGGATGTGCCTGGACTCTCTGCCTCACCCCGGCTTTCTTCAGGACTCAGCTCTGATCCCACCTCCTGAAGGGGCTTTCCCAGCCCCCCCACCTGCTGGTACCTTTCCCCTCTGACATTACGTTTCGTCTACCCTGTATATGTCTTGTGTCACCCAGTCATGTACATGTTGTCTCCCCTATTAGAAAGTAAGCGTCTTGAGGGCCAAAGCCCTGTTTTTGCCTTTCTTTGTAGCCTCACCACTTAGCATGGTGAGGTGCCTGGCACATACCAAACATGCAGTGAATGCTTGTCGAGAGCCAGTGTGGTCCAGTGGAAGGGCTGGCGTCAGAAAATTTGGATTCGTATTCTGGCTCTGCCACTACTGGCTTTGTGGCCATGGGCAAGTAACTTGACTTCTCTGGGCCTCAGTAAAGTGAGGGAGTTAGGTGACCTCCGGAGTCCCTTCTGTCTGTACATCTATGATCTTATTCTGCTACATGTCCTCGAAGGCCGAGTTCAAGTCCTATCCCTTTCAGGAAACCTCCTCTCACTAATCTGGACCATGTTGATCTCTCTGGTCCCTGAATCCACTCTGATTGCTCTTAGCACCAAACAGTTTTAACACTTAGTTTCCTATCTGTTCTTTCTTTCCTTAGTCTGTAGAGCAGGGAGAGACTGTGTATGTATCAGAGCCATGTATGTAGCAAGTACTTGATATCTGTTGATTTCTTGAAATAAAAGCTGTTTTGCAGTCACTTAAACTTGGGCTTCAGTGAAGTCATTTGTAAGCCGGTCTAGATAATCTTCAAGGTCCCATTCAGGTCTATAGCCTATGATCTTTGCTGCCTTTAACTAGTCCAATTAAGTACTGGCCTTTTTAATTCCGCTAAGCCCCTTGGTTTTGTTTTTCCCTCTTGAAAATCTCCAACCACCTCTAGTCTCCTTGGACTAGAAATAATTAGCACACCTTTTATTTACTTGACAATTAATTTTTTAAATCCCCAACAGTTCCCCAACGAGGAGACTTCCCCTTGGATCCCTTACAAATTGAAAAGGAAGTCCTAAGTCACCAAGGTTCCTACTGCCAGCTTAGATTCGTTCCCACCAAGATCAAAGCTTGAGTCACTGAGTGGGGGTGTCGGGGTGGGGGTTAAACCTAATTGGGCAGTTCCATCGAGACCAGCTTGTTATGTTAGCATCAGCTCATTCACCTATCATTAAGTTAAATATTTCTAATTGTTTTCTGTTCTTGTTTCAGTAAAGCAGAGGCTTAATTGCTTACAAGGGGAATTGAGAAGTCCATGAAGCATTTAGGATGAACCCAGGAAGACGTGACAGTCTGGATGACCTGCCTGACCTCTACACTATCTTCAGAGGAGAGGTGTGCCTAAACCTCTGTCCTTTCCTGGGGAAGCTGATTTCTTGCCGTGTCTCTTTGTGGGTACCTCTTTCTGCATTATATGTGGCTAGAATGCTGGACTTGGACAGAGGGAGATCTGAATCCAAATCCTGCCTCAGACACTTGCTAGTTCTGTGACCCTGATGAGTCGCTTCAGCTCTCTATGCCTCAGTTTCCTCCTCTGTAAAATGAGGAGGGTGAGTTGGACACAGTGGCCTCTAAGGTCCCTTCCAGCTCTCAGTCTGTGATGGGCGAGGTGACTTCTGAGATCCCTTTTATCATTGTGCACGTATGCTGTAATCAGCGAGTGGTGCTGGAGATGTAGAGGCAACAGAAAAGACTCATGGGGGAATCTGTTTTAATTGAAATGAAGGAAACAGGAGAAGAAGCAGAAGAAAAGGCAACAGTAAAAATTTTCAATTTTCGGCTTGTTCTCGCCCACTGAGATCAATTGTCCTTGAAGAAATCTGTGTGGCTAATTCCTGAGTCCCAGCAGCTGTGAGGTTGGCAGGCCCGGCACAGTGCCCAAAGACCAAACAGCTTGAGAACCAGGAAGTGGTTGGGTCTCTTGGGGATGTATATAGAATGTTAAGACTAAAGCCAAAAGACAGGTCATCAACCGTGTTCTGTGAGCTTTCTCTTGGCCAAAAATCCTGATTTATTGCTGGTCAACCCCTGTTAGTGTCAGTCAGCCTGGCTTGGCCTCTCCAAATTTAGCTAGGCTAGTCATTGGACAATAGACAATAGAGTAGATGGCTGAGCCTGTGCTTGAAGCCTTTCTATCTTGATCTAACTGACCCAAGATGACACTCTGCTAGCATTACCTTGCAGACTTTAAGGTTGCCTGTGGGTCATGATGAGGCTTTTAAAGTAATGTTTTGGAGCAGTACTTTAACAGAAGCTTCAAATAATTGTAACCTTTTAGAAGTTGTTAGAAAGAATGTGGTATTTCCCAGGGTAGGGGCTGAGTGGAACTACAAAACACTCTTTATAGCAATAAAGTGGTATTATATTAATTGCACATGGTTGGGTCTTGTCACTGTAATTGAAACAATTCTACCTATATTAATTTACTAATTCAGTGCCATACCAAACTACTAAGGGATTGCTTTAGAGATCTAGAAAAACCAATAAGAAAATTCATCTGGAGGAACAAAAGGTCCAGATTCTCAAGGAAAGTAATGAAAAAAAGTAGAAAGGAAGAGGGTCCATCAGTACCAGATCTGAAACTGTACTTCCAAGCAATAATTGTGAAAACTATTTAGTAGTGGTTAAAAAAATAGAAAAGATCAGTGGGACAGATTAGGTACATAACGTAAAGAAGCTAATGAACACAGCAAAATTGCTAGAAAAACTGGAAAGCAGTCTGTGAGAAATTAGGTAAACTAAGATCTCACGCCATAGGCCAAAGGCACGCCAAATGGTTGCATGACTAGCTATATAAAAGATCACATCATAAACAAATTAGAGGATCCAGGACAAAAATGCCTTTCTGAGCTATGGCTAGAGGAAGAGTTTATGGCAAGACAGGGGGACGGAGAGGATCACAGAAGGTAAAATGGACAGTCTTGATCATGTACAGCTGGACGGTTTTTGCACCAACAAAATCAAGGCAGTTAGAGTTGAAAGGGAAACAGTTAACTCAGAAAAACATCTTTGCAGCAAATTTCTCTGACAAAAGTCTGATAGCTAAGGTATAGAGAACGGATTCAGATATATAAGGATAGCAGCTCTGTTAGATATGAAAGTAAAATGCTGAATTATTATGTACTTTTTCAGAAGCGAGCTGTACACAGAGCTTTGTGTTTCACATATAATCCTTTTTCCTGTTATATTTGGTGTATTGAAATTTCCTCTCTTTTTTCAAGATAAAAAAAAAAGAAAAGGGAGGGCCAATGTTTGGCATTCTTGTAATAAAATGGCAAATGTTATCTTTGTCTTTCACAAGATACCTAGTTTGCAAAAAAAAAAAAATACTAACAGTGAAACCTCCACTGAGGTCCTCTGATGCTTCATGGTGGCATGGAGGTGACCGTGAAAGCCACAATAGGGCCCAAGCTTTGGCTGATCCTACTGGGTTGGAAAAAGCTGGGAGCACATGGCCCTTCTGGTTGTTATCCAGGGAGCATTGTAGAAACTCCAGTCGGCTTCCCTGGAGGGAATATCTACACTAGTGAAAGCCCCAAAGTTTGATATAAGTAGTACCACTCTGCCCAACCACTCTGTATTATATGATTTTCTTTGAAAGTATACATAGGGCTCCCGTGTAAAACCTAGGCTTGGGAGCTTGAAGTCCTGAATTCTAACATTGCCCAAGTATTCTTGATCAGTAGAAGATCTACTAGGAAATGGAAACAATGAAAATTTTCATTGGCGGATCACAGATTGATAAATGGAAGGCATCTTTCAGGCCATCTCATCCTACACTCATTTTACAGGTGAAGAAACTAAGGCCTAAAAAGCTGAAAGTGACAGGAAATTTGAACCCAGGTTTTCTGACTCTAAATCCATTGCACTTAACAATGTGCCATTTTAACCATGTTAGACTTAAGAGTAATAGTAAACTGGGAATGGGAGAAGCTCCAGGCGAGCAGTCAGGGCCTGGGATCAGGCCAGTTGGTTTTGTGACTTTGGACAAACCACATGGCATCTCTGTGCTACAGTGTCTTCCTCTGGACTCCTTTCTGTTCCTCATAGGATGCTCCATTTTCCACCTCCATACCGCCTTTGCCTTAGTTGACCTACATTCCTAGAATGTTCTCCTTTCTCTCCTCTACCTTAAAGACTGACTCTCCTTTCCTTCCAACTTCTACGTGAAGCCGTGGCTGATCTCCTGGGTATTAGTATCTTCTCCCACTTTCCACCAAAAAACACCTTGCATTTATTTAGTAAATATTTGTATACACTTAATGTTATCTCTGCCATAGAATATAAGCTTCTTGAGAGGAATGGCTGTTTCATTTTTGTCTTGTACCTGCATTCTTGATACATAGTATGCATTTCATAAATGACTGCCTATTGATTGAGCTATGAAATTAGGCCTTACCGTACCTAACTCATGGGGCATTTGTGGGCAAATAAAAATATTGATGGGAAGATGCTTTGGAAAGTATGACATTTGTTCATTCATTCATTCATTTAATGTGCATTTGTCTCGTGGGGTTTTTTGTTTTGCTTTTTAATAGAATGTTTCTTAGTTCCTGGTTCCTAAACCCTACCAGCTTTCAGACTCTGTGTTATTTTGTGGGCATCTATCTGAGAAGAGCAAGGCTGTAACTGAGGATTATTTCCTACACCTGGTGGGGCTTTTTTTGATGGCATATTTTACTGTGATTTAATAACAGTTCATGGTGCAGAAATGGCCCTGGGTTCTTGAAGACTGAACTTGCAGAGCACAGTCTCTGGTATGGCTACTAAGCTGGAAAGGCTTTGAGTATGGGTCCAGGCATAGACTTGATCTCTTTGGCCTGAGGTCCAGTCTAGCTAAACCATGAGAAGCTCATCACCAGTTTGGCTATAGGATGATGATGTTTTTGGCCAGGAGAACTGCCTAAGGTGTAGACACAGCGTAGTGTCTTGGTGGAAGAAGTACTCTGATGAAATCAGGTCCCTGAAGCATCATAGCAAGTATTCTCTTAGCTGGCATTTCTGTAGTGCTTTACAGTTACAGAGCGCTCTGACATCCATTGCCTCATTGGAGGACAGGCTTCTCGCAGAAAATGGGATTTTATTTGGGATTTGAGGAAGGTCAGAAGGCAGAGGTGAGGCGGGAGAACGTTCCAGGTATGGGAAATGGCTAGTGAAAATGCACGGAGCGGGAAGTGTCTCGTTGGAGGAGCAGCAAGGAAGCCCACGTCACTGAGTCACAGAACGCTGGTGGGGAGTGAGACACAATGAACCTGGAAAGGACCAGGGGGGTGAAAGCTTTGAATGCCAAGCAGAGGGTTTAATATTAGAAGAATGAGGAGCCGCCAGAGATGACTGAATAAGAGAGCAATGTGTTCAGGTTTACGCTTGAGGAAGATTAATTTGACAGCTGAGTGGAGGGCAGACTAGAATGAGGAGAGACTGGAGGCAGGCAGAGCCACCAGCAGGCTATTGCAGTAGTCCAGGCTTGGGTGACTAGGAGAGAGAGGAGTCGAGCGTGGCCCCTGGATTGCAGGCCTGGGTGCCTGGGGAGAGTGGTGCCCTGGACAACAGCAATAGGGAAGTTCAGAAACAGGGAAGAATTGGGGGAAAGATAATGAGTTTAGTTTTGGACATGTTTCTTTTTCTTTTCAGGTTGTTGCAGTGACAGAATATGGAGCCTTTGTCAAAATTCCAGGCTACAGAAAGCAAGGTATGTTTCTGAAAAGAGAAATTCACCCCACCACCTTTTATCCCATTCTGCGTTAGCTGTGGGTTCTGAATTTTCCAACAGCTGACAGGTATCCCAGAGGCCTCCGGTTTTCATGGTTGGCTATCTTAGGACATTCAAACAGTGACAAGTCTGGAATAAGATTGAATGATTGTGGCCATCTCAGGAGGGCAAGCTGCCTATGTGAGGCAGCTGCAATGCTGAGTCATCTTACCTGTGGAATATGGTACACGTGTAGAAATAAATCATCAGCCAGCACTTATTACATTCCTGCTGTGTACTAGGCACTGGCCCTGCAGCACAAGAGTTGGACTGTTCTTACTCTCATAGAGCTTACACTGTGTTGGGAGAACAATGTGTATGTGTGAGCATATTCAAAATAAACTCAAAGTCCTGGGTCAAAGAAGTGGGGAGAAGTTCTTCTGGGGATGATCAGGAAGGGCCTTGTGTAGGAGAGAGAGTGAGCTGAGCTTTGGAGGAAACTGGGATGCCAAGAGGCTTCAAGGCCAAAGGAGGGCATCCCAGAGGGGGACAGCCTGGGCAAAGTCATTGAGAATACCAGTAACACCCTGCCTTTGTCAGGTATTGTACATACTTGACCCCATTTGTTTCTCACAGCAACCCTGTGAGGTAGGTGGAGCAGGTATTATCTGTGTTTAAAAAATGAAGGCACTGAGGCAGAGGGCATTGTAGTTATAGTGAGAAGAGCCCCCAGATCCGGAGTCCAAATTCTTAGGTTTGAGTCCTAACATTGCTACTTACTAGTTCTTTGACTGTGGGCAAATCGTTTCACTTCTCCATTTGTTTTTTTTTTATTTCATATATGATTCATTAAGCTGTTCTTTCTCTCTTTTGTTGATGAAAGTGTTTAGAGATAGACAGTTTTCCTCTAGAACTACTTTAGCTGCATCTACAAAATGTTGGTATTTTGGCTCATTGTTGTCTTTTTTTTTTTTATGAAATTAACTCTTATTTCTAAGATTTGTTCTTTTACCCACCAGTTCTTTAGGATTAAGTTATTTAGTCTCCCAGTTAGCTTTCTGTTCTCTCCTCAAAGGCCAGTTATTGAATACAATTTATATTGTGCTGCACTCAGTAAAAGATCTAATATTTCTGCTTTTCTGCATTTGTTTGTGAGGCTATGTCCTGTACATGATCAGTTTTTGTAGTGGTACCTCGCACTGTTGAGAACTATCATATCTAATTTCCTAAAATTTCAACTCAAGCCTTCAGTTCCTTTCTTATTTGCCTTTTTGTTAGATTTGTATCGGTTTGAGAAGGTTGAATTCCCCAACTATTATAGTTTTATTGTCTATTTCTCCCTAAAACTCAATTGGCTCTTCCTTTAACTACTTTTGCCATTTGGGGGTGTGTGTGTGTGTGTGTGTGTGTGTGTGTGTGTGTGTGTGTGTGTGTGTGTGTGTATACTTACATACATACACATATAATATTTATATTAATTCATTATCTGTGATGCCTTTAAGCATATTGTAGTTTCCTTATTTATCTTTTTTAGTTGTCTGTTTTACTGTGGCTTTGTCTGAAATTGTGATTGTAACCCTACTTTGTTCGAGTTCCTTTTTTTAACAATTTGTGAATCTTTATGTTTTAAGTGTGTTCCTTATAAACAGCATATTTTTGGATTCTACTTTCTTTGTTTTGCTGTCTTCTTCTGCTTTATGCATGTACATCCCATTCATACTCATGGTTATAATTTAATTATGTATTTCCTTCCATTCTGTCCTCTTACTTCATTTCTTCCAGGAATTCCTTTTAGCTAAGTTGTGTTTTTGTTTGAGACTTTTCCTATAGATATTGTAGAATTATTCTTTTTTTCTGAATTTATGTCTTCGGCATCCCTGGATTCATAATATTTCTTTATCGTCAATGTCTTCTTTTGTTTACTCTTTTTTCCAGCTTTCCTTCCTGAATTGAAACTTTGTGTAAGGTCTGGGTTCTGTGCTCTTCTGGAGGGAATGGTGGAGCCATATTTGGGTCTGAGCTATATTATCTGGGGTCCTGCTGCTATTTCATCTGGGTATTGAGTGCTTTGTTTTTCAAGGATCCCAGGGGCAGCTCACCAATCTTTTAGCCTTCTAAGATGGCTGTTCTAGGGTTTAGTCTGATTGCTGCCGTCCAGGCTGAACTTTGCAGCCTCCCAGTGCCAGCTAGGGGTCCAGGTGACCCAGCTGTAGTCTTGTCCCTGGTCATAACTTGAGGAGACATTCCTTGTCAATGCATTGAAGGCTACGTGGATCAGAGTTACAGAAATGCTATCTTGCCCCGATCCTTCCTCCCTGTGCTAGTAGACTGCTACTACACAAGGGTTATGGGGTATTCACGGTAGACTAGCTCCTCTGGTGTCAGGGTTTGCTGGGTCCTTTTCAGGACTGTTCATTCACCATTGGTGTCCACCTGGCACTCAGCTCTCACCTGTGGCTCCAAGAAGCTGTAGTGTGCACAGTGGCCATACTCCAGTAAAACCATCTCTGCAGCCAGTCTGAATTAGTGAGCGGGGGGGGGGATACCTACCCCAAGCATGTGAAGACTTCCCCCAACAGAATAGGCATATGAAAACGGTCTGTTCCAACGGACATGAAGGCAGCTGAAGTAGGCTCTGTGGTGCATTTAGAGCTTGGTCAGACCTCAAAGACACCAAGGTCATCACTGCAACCCAGGGCCATCACCAGTCGTCCTGACTCTTGTCCTGTCACTGACTTCAGTGACTCGGGAAGAGAGAAGAGGCTGACGATTTTGTGCAGCTCTGCCTCACTTAAATCCAGTTCTCAAGCAAGTCAAGATATCCCCCTATGATGTCACTGGTCTTCAAAACAAAGGATGAACAGCAGATATATAGTTATTGACCCCAGCTCTCCCTGTGGCCTGGAAAGCTCCGCAGCCCAGGTTCTGGGCCAGAGCAGACCAGCAGCAGGCTCTTCCCTTGTCTGTGCTCCCTGCCCAGGTCTCCAGCAGATCTTCTTGGCTGGCCCCATGCCCGGTGCCAGCAGGACTCTGGCTGTCTCCCTGGGCTTCCCCTCACAGTCTTTTCTCCTTAACATGCCCATAACTACTTGGTCTTCCTCCATCTTCACGGTGGTAGTTGTGCTAGTAAGTGGGGCTCACCTGCCTTGTCTCACTCAACCATGTTGTGCCTCTTAACTTCGATGCATTCATCACAGTACCACATAGATTGTAATCCCTGGTTCAATTCTTGTTGACTGATTGCTTAATTTCCTGTGAAATGGGGATGATAACATTTATATTTCTTTTGTCACTGAATTGTTTGTGAGTAAATCACCCTTTAAAGGACTTTATATATGTGAACTATTATTATGAGCCAGCAAGAAAACCAACCTAAGATGACTGAAGCGGGACAGGTCATTCGCCCCACTAGCTGGTGGCAAAGCCATGATTAATCCGCGCTGCTCTTTATCACAAGGCTACATTGTCTCTTCCTGTTTATTTCTCAGGACTGTATGAATCAGTTGAGATGATGGGCAGGAAAGCACTTTGGAAACAACAGAGTGTAATTCAGAGCCAAACTGGTGTAAAAACTCAAGCTCTCTACCCATTAGATGTGGCTCTTTGCCATGAGGCCTTTTGGTCAGAAGACACAGGTTCTGCAGCACAAGCTTTGGGGGGAAATGAATACGGCTGTGATGCTTCCACAGGACTCCTTCCCTACAAACTTCGCTCTTTCCTTTTAATTGATTGAATGGCGTTGCTCAGCTCTGAACTGAGGGCTTCTATGCAGAACACATCAGCTCTGGTCAGAGACCATTTCCCAGCAGCTTTCTGAGGGTAGGCAGCCAGAGAGCAAGAATGAAGTTTCTCAGGGTTTTTTTTGTTTGGTTTGGTTTTTTTCTTCTTCAGTAAGACTGAATGAGGTAAAACTCTAGGCCAAAGGCTTCTTAAATTTGATTCTGTTAATTCACCTGCTGCTGCTGCCCCATCTTACCTGCCTTGCACCGTGCCGATATGTAAGTGACTCTTAGGATGAGCTGGTCCTGATACATTTTGGTTTGGTTAGGGGAGGGGGAACATGGTGGAGAGGAGCCAGCTTCCAGGGAGTTAATTTACAGCACAGATTTGCAGCAGGGTGCCTTTGTCATGCATCCAAATCTGGCTGCCTGGGGGTGAATCTCTGCAGGACAAGACAGCTGGACTCCAGGAGATGAGCAATTAACTAGAAGCTCAGTGAGTCCTAATCCTTTTTGTCACTCTGAGTAATGACCTCCTCACTTTGTCCCTTATGATTCTCCCCCTTTATAGACAGAGAAACTAAGTGCCACGTTCACAGGACTGGACTAAGAAATCACTCTTTAGCTAATCCTGTGGCAAAGCCCAAACCAAGTCATGTTTCCCAGCATTTTTTCCATCCCATAGCCTTTTTTCCTCTGTTGTTGGGTATATGTCACTCTGGGGATGCCAGACCTCAAATAGATAGGGCTCTAGATTCCAAGGACTTCCTACTTTATTGGATGTTGGGTTAGAACCACTGGGATAAAAGTAGCCATCTTTCTCCAGTAATACTGCATTTAATATGCAGTCAGTGGCAGAAGAGAAAATTGAGCCCTAAAGGTAAGAGTGGACCGCTAGGTGGAGCCATGGGGCATAGAGTACTGGGCTTGGAGTCAGGAAGATTCATCTTTGCCTAGTTCAGATCTGGCCTCAGACACTTACTAGCTGTGTGACCCTGAGCAAATCACTTACCCCTGTTTACCTCAGTTTCCTCATCTGTAAAATGAGCTGGAAAAGGAAATGGCAAACCACTCCAAGATCTCTGCTGAGAAATTCGCAAATGGGGTCATGAAGAGTCGGACGCGGCTGAAAACATGAAGAACAACAGTAGACAAGGGTGGCCTCTCACCTGGACAGCTTTCTGACTGAAACCATGGTTTAACAGTTTAGATTGGTCCTCTTCTGTCCCATTGCGGATAAAGTTGTGAAGGAAAATAACCTCAACTGAATTTTGTACAGTCAGGAAATGCTTCATATCAGTGTAGCAGATTCTTTTGTGTCTGGATTGAAAAACTGCAAGAATTTCTCCACGTTGTCTGAATGCATCTTAGCAGGCGCTCAGGTAGGGCACCTTGTACCAACATGGGTTTATTACACCCACAAGTGGCCTGAGCCTGCTCCTCAGATGTGAACAAGATACAGCATCATTCTTCTCTTCTGGAAACAAAGTAGATGCTCATCAACTGGGGACTAGTTAGAAAGATGGTAGGGCGGGACTGCAGTGGAATATTACTGTGTTGAAAGAAGCAGTGAGCACTGAAAAGACATCGGTGAACTGATACACAGGGAAGTAAGCAGAACCAAGGACATAATGCACGAAACGATAACAGCAGTGTGAATGCAAAGAGCCAGTGTGACATGTTGGAACTTAAAATGTAACACAAATAAATAAATTTGAAAAGAAACTGAACAACTAAGCTATTCTGAGTATTCTAAATATTCAGATCAACTACAAAAGACCGATGAAGGAAGATACTGTCCACGTCAGAGAAAGTGCTGACAAATAGGAATACACACAGGATGTTTTACACGTGTATGTGGTGTGTGTGTGTGTGTGTATGTGTATGTGTGTGTAAAATGGAGCCTTCTTGGGATGAGGAGGGAGGGAGACAGACAGTTCACAACTTAAAATGTAACCCAAAAAAATGAAATTTTAAAAGAAAGAACTAAAGCAAAATCATCAAAATTGGATAATGTGAAATTACAATGAGCAAACTCAATCAAAAAAACATAAGAAAAGATGTAAGAAGATGCCTCCTTTACTTGTTTTCAAAGGTAGGAGACATTGGTTATAGAACTCTGCATATGATGTCAGACTTGACCAGTATGTTGGTTAATTTTGTTGAACTGTTGGGTTTTTTTTTCTTTGCTATAAAAGGTGGCTTTCTGGGAAGGAGAGAAAAGAGGGATACATTAGGAAATGTAGGTGCTGTAAAAACAAATATAAGTTATACCCTTTGACTCAGCAATAGCACTTCTAGAGCTATATCCCAAAGAGATCATACAAATGGGAAAAGGACCCACATGTACAAAAATATTCATAGCAGCTCTTTCTGTGGTGGCAAAGAGTTGGAAATTGAGAGGATGCCCATCAATTGGGGAATGGCCAAGCAAGTTCTGGTATATGAATGTAATGGAATACTATTGTGCTGTAAGAGATGATGAACAGGCTGACTTCAGAAAAACCTGGAAAGACTTGTATGGTCTGATGCTGAGTGAAATGAGCAGAACCAAGAGAACGTTGTACACAATAACAGCCGTGTTACCCTTCCCAGCATTATAAGGATCTAAGACATCTCTAGAGGCCTAGTGATGGAAAATGCTATCCACATCCAAAGAAAGAACTATGGAATTTGAATTGCTATTTTTTTCCTCTTCTGTTGAGTTTTGTTTCCTTTTTCTGATGGTTCCTTCTATTGGTTTTAATTTGTACTTACAACACCACTAATGTGAAAATATGTTTAATAGGAATGTAAATGTATAGCCTATATCAGATTGTGCGCCATCTTGGGGAGGGTGGTGGGGAGGAAGGGGGAGAAAAATTTTAAACTCAAAAGCATATGGAAGTGATTATTGATAAATCAAAATAAATTAATAAAATTTTTTTAAAAAAGAATTCTGTTCCACATAATATAATAAGTCAAATATTTTGTTTTATTCCTTTCCTGTCTGTGTTTGGCTTTGGGAGCTGATACTTTTCTCTGGATTCCTCCGTGGTCATGGGCAGCACATAATTAGATGCCCTTGTGGTATAAGATCACATTGGTTTTCCTTTGTGCTTTCTCCATTGACTAGTGATCGTGTATCAGGCCTACATTAAATGTTTTCCTTTTCTGTTTCAAGGCCTGGTCCATCGAACCCACATGTCATCCTGTCGAGTGGACAAACCCTCTGAGATAGTGGATGTCGGTGACAAAGTGTGGGTGAAGCTTATCGGCCGGGAGGTAAAATTCTGTGCCTTGTTTGCAAGTGAGCAGGAATGTAAAGGAGTAGAAAGAATGATGACTCGATTCTTAGCTGAAGCTGGCAGACTAGTCATCTTCCCAGAGTGGGTGGTTTTGTTTTTGAGCTATGCCACTCTGGTATCTTCTCCTTTCCAACCTCACCAAAGCTGCTTCCATTTCCATCCCAGAAGGACTGGGGTATATTTACGTATCTTGGAGGTTACTGACTAGGTTTGAAGGAATCTTAGAAAGTTCTTTGATCCATTTCCTCTTTATCCAGACAAGATTCCCAAAGTTTTGCAAATAAATAGTGAATTATTAGCTGGGAAAAAAAAAACCTCACCAACATTGCTAGTCTGTCCTTCCCCCAGGAAGTAAATAAATAAGTATTTACTGCCACCATCCCCACCCCACCCCCAGCTCATGCTATGGACCTGAGCATTATCAGGCTAACCCATTTCACAGCTGACTCTGACTAGGTTTGAGTGATGTAAGTCAATAGTCAAATATTCATGGCGGTCCTTCTTGGAAAGGCTAGTTGCCCAGGGAATTTAAGACAAGCTTATATACTAGCTAAAGAAACCAGACATATACACAAAGGAACAATTAGATCGCAAGGCAATGGGATCAGCGTGACCTTTGTAGAATACAGACAATAAATCTAGTCACCTCGGGCTAAACTGACATCAATCAAGATCCTGGAATCCTAGATTTGGAGCTGAAAAGGACCTTAGAAGGCCATGTAATCCAGCCACTTCATTTTGCAGATGATAAACTCAGACCCAGAGAGGCTGCTGAAGGTTACATAGGTAGGGGTCAGCAGAGTCTGGATTGTTAACTACCTGCAGAAAAATATCTAAAGTACTTGCTCTTTCCTTGAGAGGCATCGTGGACAGTGGAAAGAGTACTGGCTTAATCGTCTGAGGACCTGGGTTCAAATCCTGCCTCTGATTTCATAACCTTAGACAAATCACTCAACCTCCCTGAAGCTCGATTTCATTACCTATAAAATGAGGAGGAGGTGGTTTAGTTGGTTTCTGGGGTCCCTGGTAGCTCTAGACCTCTGATTCTACTTTTTTCTTAAAAATTAATTTTTTTAATGTAAACTTAGTCATCAGCAAACATCTGAAGATACCAAGGACAGGGAAGAAGATTGTATAAGAAACGCAAATTTCTATTCCATATAATTTGTATATATACATATATAAATATATGAATAAAACAAGGTAGTAACAAAATTGCTGTGTCCCCATCTATGCTCCCTTTTTTCTTCTATACATTTAAAAAATGTTTTATTGCTGCTTTTCTTCCATTTCTATCGCTAGCTGCTAACTCACCTCCCCATCAATAGAAAACCTCCCTTGTAACAAATATATATAGTCAAACAAAAGAAATCAGGATATGTGTCTGCTTGCCTGCCTACTTTCCAGCCTTCTTCTCCCCTCCTTCCCCTCCTTCTCTCCTCCTCTCAGAACCCTGCCTCTTTAGCTAGGTTAGTCTCTTCCTTGTTTCTGAACATGCCATAGGTAATCCCACCTTTATGCATTTGCTCATGTCACCCTTCCATTCTTGCATGCCCTCTTTCTTCCTCTCCGTATGTCTAAGTCCTACCCTGCCTTCAAGGCCTAGTTCAAGCCCCCAGCTCTCAGTAATGGCTCCCTCCCCCAAGCCCTCGTAGCCTTTATTCTCTTTACTGTTCACTTGACTCTTAATGTAGGATGCCCGATGTTATTTTATGAGTCTGTTCTCTTCAACTAGATGGTAGCTTCTTGGGAGGCAGAGGTGGTTTCTTGTGTCTCCTGGTAGCCTGGCCCCCCAGCCCCCACCCCTGCCAGCAGTGCCCCCACATGGACACTCAGCAGATGCTTTTGATGCTGATTGTTTGGGTGAGTGTCCTCTGCCAAGCGATTTGCAGGCTGTTGCCATCACTAGTAAATCTCTCGGATGTGGCCGAGCTCTTTTTGATGACTCTGCTTTTGCTTCCTGCAGATAAAAGATGACAAAGTTAAGCTGTCCCTTTCCATGAAAGTTGTCAACCAAGGGACAGGCAAAGACCTTGACCCCAACAACATCATTACTGAGTAAGTCAAATGGTTTGTTAGATCAAAAAGTCTTGCCTCCCCAACAACCTTTTTGAGCCTTTTTCTGTCTTTTGAAGCAGGTGGTTGACAAATATTTGTCTTTATGACCCTGCTCTGTAACTCTAGCTTAGGTACATTAACCATGTCTGTGACTGTGATTTGAGGACCTGATAGTCTTAAGACAGGAAGGGAATTGAGACCCGCATGTCAAGGGTACTGCAGCCGAATACAGCATCTCAGTCACTCAACCTCTCTGACCTTGGTCTAGGAGTGAAAGACATTTTTTCACCCAGATGGGTTAGCACACTTATATGATATTACCTTCTGTGTTTTGGGCCCTGCCTTAGGTCTGCTTAGGGAATTGAGTGTTTAATGTAACTCTCAGACATCTGTCTGGACTAGGGATCCTTAACCCTTTTTTGGTGAAATCTGTAGACCCTTCTCAGAATAATCTTTTTTAATACATGAAATATAATACACAGAATTACACAGGAAACCAATTCTATTGAAATAAAGATGTAATATTTTTCCCATCAAAGATAACAGCCACGCTGAAATCTGTACATAGACCCGAAGCTGAGAGCACCTTCCCTGGGGAGTGGGGCGGTGGCTCAGGGCTTACTCTGATTCGAGGTCTGTGGCTCCTTCTGAATTTCTGTGTCATCACTGTACATGATTAAGCCACAAACCTCTTAAGGGAGGAAGGGGATAGGCAGACTCAGAATACCTGCCCTCTCCCCCATTCTTAGCAGAGTGAAAGTAAAGGCCCAGGGTCACCCAGACTCCTGCCATCATGGTTTGTACTTTGCGCTGGGTCTTCCCTGAATCTTCTTTGGAGATGCTCTGAAGCAGCAGTGCCTTCTGGCCAGTTCTGGAGCAGTGTACTGATTCGACTGATTTGGGGTCAGAGGGCATGGATTCCAGTCTCTGCTCTCCTACTTATTACCTGTGTCATCTCAGCTTAATTACTTTCCCTCTCTGGACCTCAGTTCTTTCATGTATAAAATAAAGTAGTTGGACTAGAAGATCTGCAGGGGGCTTTCCAGTTCCAAATCCTGTGAGGCTGAATACATTGGCAACTGGAATTATTCCCTCCTGCCCCATTAAGCCCTAGTCAAGTGCTATCCCAGACATAGGCAGGACTGCACCAGTCACTTGCTCCTTTACTGAGTGGCCCCACTGACTCCTGCCTGCCTCGGGGGAGCCATTTGGTTGCCTTAGTTACTGTGAGAACACTTTGACTAAATTGCTTTGTGTTTGGGGATTTTCATGTGCCTCCTGATGGTTTTCCTGCTTCTCCATTTTTTGGTAGGACTGGGTATTGGCAGATCACATGCCAGTTAGAGTAGAAACCCATTAGAAGTCAGGGCTCTGGGGACATGATTTACACCAAGGCCACTGGTTAACTGCATTCTCATCAGTCACCTTCCCTTCCTAGAGCTGCAGTTGAGGCAGCCCCACGAAGCAGAGATGCCCTTAGAAGGGCCAACCAAGGAAGATAAAGGACCACCTCGATTTCCTGGCACAATGCCAGAAAGTGGGAAGGGCTCCCAGGGTTCAGGCAGGGGGCTTCTCTCTCCCACAGCCTGCCATAAACAGCAACATTTCAGCAAACACGTAGTGAGCAGCTACCCTCTCTGGCAAGCATGCAGTCCCTGCTCTTGGAGTTTGTGACCTAGTGCTCTAAGAAAGGTGTGTGGTGAATAAGGGACTAAGCAGATGTCCAGCTGGGGCAGTTAGTTGGGTTTTGAAATGTTTGGGGGTTTAAGTTCATGAGATAAGGAGAGGGCTACATTCTGGTGGTTCGGCCTCACGGGTGTGGAGGCAGGAAATCAGCTGGTCCGTTTGGAAAATGGCAAGTCGTCCAGTTTGTGTAGGGAAGAGCAGATGACGTATTTGCTAGATTAAATTGAGTATTATGTGGGGGGAGTTATTTGGCCTGTCATCTGTCAGAATCCACAGTCTTGACTTTGGTTATACTGAATATTTTTTGGCCTATGATTAGCAAATGATTCTAGCTAAATTTGGCTAAGCAAGTGAAGAGGATTTGTTTCATTCTTTGTACTTGTATCCCCAGTACCTTGCACATCGTAAGTGCCCCATAAGTATTTGTTGATTGATTGATTCGCTGAGGCAGAGGCCAGAGAAATGTAAGTGAGTTACCCAAGTAGAGGCCTGGGAATCGTGCTTGATCCGCAAGCTTGTATTCAGAGAGTAAGCTAGGCTGTGCCTGTCGTTTTGAGAGAATTATTTCCTGTAGGTCCATACCAGACATCTGACCTCATTCCTATATCAGTCCACCTCCCAGAGCAGAAGACAAGAATCTGAGGGCGTCTGAAGCAGAAGGCTGAGCAGAGGGTTGGAGGGCACAGTTAGATAAGAGGCCTTGCCAAAATCCTCTTTCATTGTTGTTTAGAGCTTCGGGTTTCTTTACCAAAAAAACAAACGACAAAAAAACTTTCTTCTGTATTCAAACGCTTGACTGAGACCCATGAAACAAATAGCTTTGTATCACAGCTAATGATTTTTACCTACATTTCACTAGGGTACATACCTCCTACTGGTAAGATGCACTGGGCCTGAGCGTGCTGGGAGCTCTCAGTGGCTTAGATATCACACGTTAAGGCCACAGCTCACAGGAAAGGAGAGGTCAGCTGAGGCCACTGGTGCCACTGCCATTCTGTCTTTGGGAGGCAAGTAAAGAGCTTCCCTGTTGTGAAACTCATCACCTGCACCTCCACCAGGCCACCTCTGGCCTGTTCCCTCCCCTTTTGCTATATTGTTCTGTTTGACATGTGCTGGCTTTTAGGCCTTGGCAGACTGGGGCATCCCGCCTCCGTCTTTTACCATAAAACCAGGAGCAAAGAGAGACTCAAATCCACAAAAGCTGTTTCCAACTCATTCTCTTGAGAGAACCACAGTAAATGTTGATCCTGCTTCATTTCAGCCAAGAAGAGAGGCGGAAGAGGTCCTTCAAGGATTACACAGGGCAGAAGATCACCCTCGAGGCTGTCCTGAACACCACTTGCAAGAAGTGTGGTTGCAGAGGTAGGGAGGGCTGACGCTCCACCTGCTCTCTTCCACCCCCCCAACCCCCTCCTCTTCTCTCCCTTCCTCCCTCTCTGTGTCTCTCTATTCCTCTGTGTATCTTTTCTCTCTGTTCTTTATATGTTCTCTCTCCTCCCTTTCCTCTCTGTCTCTCCTCTCTCTCTTCCCCCTCTTTCTCCCTCCCTTTCTCTGTCTCTGCCTCTGTCTCTTCTCTCTGCCTCTTCTCTGTCTCTGTTTCTTTCCTCTCTCCTGTCTTTTTGTGTGTGTCTCTCTCCTTCCTTCTCTCGCCCCTCCTTCCCTGCCCCTGTCTCTCCTCTCTGGCTCTTCTTTGTCTCTTTCTGTTCTCCTGTCTCTCTGTGTGTCTCTCTCTGTCTCTCTCCCTCCCTCCCTCTCTCTCCCTCTCCTTCCATCTCCCTCTGTCTCTCTCTCTTCTGTCTTTCTCTCCTCCTTCTCTCCTGTCTCTGTCTCTGTCTCTTCTCTCTGCCTCTTCTCTGTCTCTGTTTCTTTCCTCTCTCCTGTCTTTTTGTGTGTGTCTCTCTCCTTCCTTCTCTCGCCCCTCCTTCCCTGCCCCTGTCTCTCCTCTCTGGCTCTTCTTTGTCTCTTTCTGTTCTCCTGTCTCTCTGTGTGTCTCTCTCTGTCTCTCTCCCTCTCCTTCCATCTCCCTCTGTCTCTCTCTCTTCTGTCTTTCTCTCCTCCTTCTCTCCTGTCTCTGTCTCTGTCTCTCCCTGCTTCCTCCCTCCCTCCCTCCCTCTCTCTCTCTGTCTCCTCCTCCCTTTCCTCACTTTCTCTCTCATTCCCTCCCTCTCTGTCTCTGTTTCTTCTCTGTCTCTCTCTCTCCTTCTCCTTCTTCTCCTTTCTCTCTCTCTCTCTCTCTCTCTCTCTCTCTCTCTCTCTCTCTCTCTCTCTCTCTCTCTCATCTACCCTCTCTGGCCTTCACTGTCACCCCTACCAGCCTCTCACTTTCCTCAGAGTCCTTGTCAGGTCATTTCTCTTGAGTTTCAGTTTCCTCCTTTGTAAAGCCATAACATGCTTTTTCACTCCTTATTGGACAGGGACGCTGTGAAGTAAGTGCTGCTAACCCTTAGCTGCCGTTGTTGTCTGTTGGCTGGCTTCCCCTCCTAACAGGCTGCTCATGTCCTTCCCAGGATGAATAAGCCCTGGTGTCCTCCAGAATCATCTGTTACCTCTTGAAGGCAGGGGGGTTAAAAAGTCCCTGCTGGATCACGTTGTGATCTATGACCTTATTTGTTTCCCAAAGGGCTGTTATTGTCCTGCTGTAGAAACCAAGAGACTTTAACAGAGTTGTGTTTGTAAGTCTTCTCCAGGAGCCAAGAAAATACCCTTTATTCTTCACTGTTTTCTTAAACTCCTGAAATTCCAAACTCTAAACACAGTTTCTCACATCAAGAATGCCATTATTTCCATCTAACTCCTTTTCTCAGTTTCCTTCTAGTTTTACACACGTATTTAAGAGCTATGTTCTTATCCTGTCTTCCCTTGTTGGCTTTATTTTTTTTAACATTCATTTTTTTAAAATTTTGAGTTCCAAATTCTCTCCCTCCCTGCAACTCCTCCCCCACTCACTACAAGTCAAACAATATGACTTCAATACATATGAAGTCATACGAAACATTTCCATATGAGCCATGTTACCAAAAAGATGGCAAGAAAAATGAAGTGTGAAAGTTCTCTGCACTCAGTTCTCTCTCTGGAGGTGGGTGGCAGTTTTCATCATTGGTCCTTAGGGATTGTCTTTCACAGTTGATAATCACACAATATTGCTGCTCCTGTATATGACGTTCTTCTGGTTCTGTTCATTTCACTTTGCATCAGTTCATGTAAGTCTTTCCAGGTTTTTCTGAGAGCATCCTGCTCACCATTTCTTGTAGCACAATAGTATTCCATTACAATCATATGCCACAACTTATTCAGCTATTCTCTAATTGATGGGCATCCCCTCAATTTCCAATTCTTTGCCACCACAAAAAATCTGCTATAAGTATTTTTGTACATATAGGTCCTTTTCCTTTTTCTTTGATCTTTTTGGGATACAAGTAGTAGTGGTATTGCAGGGTCAAAGGGTGTGCATGGTTTTATAGCCCTTTGGGCATAGTTCCATGTTGCTCTCCAGAATGGTTGGATCAGTTCACAACTTCACCAACAGTGCATTAGTGTTCCTGTTTTCCCACAGTCCCTCCAGCATTTGTCCTTTTCCTTTTCTTTCACATTAGCCAATGTGATGACTGTGAATTAGCACCTCAGGGTCTATGTTGGCTTTATAATAAGATACTCTGCCAATTTCTAGCCTTCAGAGTTAATTGAATTTGCCACCCCTCCTGCATTTCTGCTTCAAGAACTCATACCTCTCAGCTATTTGTCCTTTTCTCCTGCCTTTGACTTTTCTGGTGACTGATGGCAAATTTATGGCCCTGCTTATACTATGTCAGCTCTAAGAAGGGAAAACTGACCTATGCGAGCAGATCCTTTGTTCTCTTCAGAGGGAGTGTGAACATGACTTAGATCAGAAGAAATCTTATGTTACATTTTCATTCTAAGTGATAATAATAATAATACTAATAATAACTGACATGGAGAATTAGCCTTGGAATCAGGAAGACCTGTAGGTCCAAACCCACCTGTGCTACAAACTGGCTGGGTGACCCTGGCCGTCACTTACCTCTCAGTGCCCCAGGTGGCCTCGAAGGTGCAGGGAAGAGGCCTTCTTCGTCTGAAGGAGGGAGCTCTTCACTGGCCATTCTCTATAGTGATGACCTCCTTGGTCTGGTAAAAATACACGTGTGTGTGTGTGTGTGCGCGCGCGCGTGTGTGCGTGCGCACACGCATGTGTGCACTCTGATTTGAGCCTGTAACGATCTTGGGAGGGAGGTAGCCCAACTATTGTTTCCCTGTTGTGCAGATGAGTAAACTCCTAGTCCTAGAGATTCAGTGACTTGACCAAATTCACGTAGCAAGCCAGGGGCCGAGCTGGGTCCTCTGACTCCAAATCTAGTTCTCCTTTCTCTATATCTCTGTCCTTTTGTGTGACATGGAGCTCTTTGAGAGTCTGGAAAAGCCTATGGACCCCCTCATCAGAAGAATAGTTTATTTTCTGCTTGTTTGGGTTAGGGGGGTGGGTGGGATTTTATTATTAAAGGAAGTGCTGCATTTCAGTTAGAGGTTGGGCAAATACAAAGACAATCTTTTTTCCATCTAGCTTCAGGGACCCCCTAAAATCTGTCCCTGGTTCCCTTGGGAATCTACTAAATCCCTGCATTACCCCATGACTGTCCCTGTTGTTTCAGTTGAGAAGTCTGACTTGCTCTGAGTAGTTTCCATGTGGCTTTGAGACTTGGCTAATATAGCTCCCCAGGAGAGTGGTAGAGGGCATGCAGAAACCCTTTCATTTGGTGCACATGGCTATCCCAGGTCTGGGACACAGTGGCTGTCATGTAGCAAAGTGCCGGTATTTATAGACTTAGGACAAGAGGGAAAGCAGACATGCCAAGTAGGCAAGGTGGAACAAGGCCCAGCCGTGCCATAACAGAGAAGAAAACCTGGCTGTTTATTGACCCGTTTTTTGTCCCCCAGTGATAGGTTTGGGATCTTTTCTCCCTGGCATGGTGGGTAAAACATGGCTATGACCTGACTTCCAAGGGAGCCCTTCCTGCCCCCAGCTTCCTCAGCAGAAACATCTTCCTTGTAGCCTTTTGTAGCCAGGGAATAAGTTCGAAAGGACTACTTTAAAAATTAATAAGCCTCAGTGATAATGGAGGGATAGAGATGCCTCCATCCAAATGGCACTTGCCTTTTCCAAAGTCAAAGCAACTTGGCCTCCCTGCCCAGTTTGCTCAGGCCTCAAGAATTACAGGAAGTGTAGGAGCTAGTCCATGGACCAGACCATTGCTTCTGACTCCCTCTCCTGGATGTCCTCTTTTTTTTTCTTTCATTCATTCATTTATTTTTTAAATTTTATTAATTTATTTTGATTTATCAACAATCACTTCCATATGCTTTTGAGCTTAAATTTTTTCTCCCCCTCCTCCCCACCACCTTCCCCAAGATGGCACACAATCTGATAACAGGCTATACATTTACATTCCTATTAAACATATTTTCACATTAGTGAAGTTGTAAGTAAAAATTAAAACCAATAGGAGGAACCATCAGAAAGAGGAAACAAAACTCAACAGAAGAGAAAAAAAATGATAGCGATTCAACTTCCATAGTTCTTTCTTTGGATGTGAATAGCATTTTCCATCACGAGGCCTCTGGAGATGTCTTATATTCTTGTAATGCTGAGAAGGGTCAAGTTTATCAATATTAGTCATCGCACAGCATGGCTGTCACTGTGTACAAAGTTCTCTTGGTTCTGCTCATTTCACTCAGCATCAGACCATACAAGTCTTTCCAGGTTTTTCTGAAGTCAGCCTGTTCATCATCTCTTACAGCACAATAGTATTCCATTATATTCATATACCACAACTTGCTCAGCCATTCCCCAATTGATGGGCATCCTCTCAATTTCCAGCTCTTTGCCACCACAAAAAGAGCTGCTATGAATATTTTTGTACATGTGGGTCCTTTTCCCATTTGTATGATCTCTTTGGGATACAGACCTAGAAGCGCTGTTGCTGGATCAAAGAGTATGCACGTTTTTATAGCCATTTGGGCATAGTTCCAAATTGTTCTCCAAAATAGTTGGATAATTTCACAACTCCACCAACAATGCATTAGTGTTCCAATTTTCCCACATCTTCTCCAGCATTTATCATTTTCCTGTTTTGTCATGTTGGCCATTCTGATAGGTGTGATGTGGTACCTCAGAGTTGCTTTGATTTGCATTTCTCTAATCAATAATGATTTAGAGCATTTTTTCATATGACTATAGATGGCTTTAATTTCTTCATCTGAGAACTGTCTGTTCATTGGATATGTCCTTCTCCAGAGCTCCTAGGAAAGACTCACTTGCTGACCAAAGTGGGGAGGGATGAGCCAGCTTCATCTCCTGCCTTTCCCATCTTTCCCATAGGTCATTTTGCCAAGGACTGTTTCATGCAACCAGGGGGCACCAAATACAGCCTGGTACCTGAGGAGGAGGAGGAGGAGGAAGAAGCAGCTGCAGCAGAAACTGATGGAGGAGAGAAGTCTGTACAAACAGAAACTACTTCCCGGAAGAGAAAGAAGGTGAGTGCTGCCTTCCTCTGCCCATCAGTTACTGCCAGACAGGTCTGGCAGGACACACTGGAGTCCAGCAGGAGGCCCTTCCCATGCAGCACAGAGTAAATGGGCATTCTCACTTATGGAATAGAAAGGTTGATACTGTCCTACTGAAGGGTATTTAAAAAAAATAATAACCCATCCCTGGGAGTTTAGGTTTCATAAAAGCAGTGAAAACAGTGGACTAGAAATTAGAAGATTTGAGTTCTGGCTTTAGCTCTACCATTGATGAATTGGGTGGATCTTGGACAAATTAATGACCCTCTCTGGGTCCTGTTTTCTACTTCTGTAAAATTGTTGTTATTGTTGTTTAGGCATTTCAGTTGTGTCTGACTCTTTGTGACTCCATTTTAGGGTTTTCTTGGCAAAGATAGTGGACTGGTTTGCCATTTCCTTCTCCAGCTCATTTTACAGATGAGGAAACTGAGGCAAACAGGGTTACGTGACTTGTCCAGGATCACACTGCTAGTAAGTGTCTGAGGCTGGATTTGAATTCAGGAAGATGAGTCTTTCTGACTCCAGGCCTAGCACTCTATCCACTGTGCCACCTAACTGCCCATTTATAAAACCGGGAGACTGGATTTATATAATTTCCAAATTCCCTCCCACCTCTATTCTCTTTCACATGGCCTCCATCCGTTCCCCTAGCATGGAACCTGATGTCCTAAGGTCTGGGCATTGTCCTCGATAACTTTGCTGCAGCTTTGTGGGCTGACTCTTTGGACGCTCAAAGAAAGCGCTCCCTGCAAGATGGAGGCAGGACCGACGTCCCAGCTGGCGTTATCCTCTTGTCAGTGAGGATGCAACATCTGATGACCACCTTTTCTGGGACTCCTGGTCCACACTGCCATTTCTTCATAAGAACTAGGACACGGAGCCAGCCTTGGATGGCCCTCAGGAGCCTTCCCCCTACCCTACAGTCTTTATTCCTGCCAGCAGAACCACCAGGAGCTGTAGGAGGTTTTCAGAAATGCTCTACATCTTTCTGGGGAACCTGTTAGGAGCCTGATAATACTTATCATTTGGATGTGCTTTATCTAAGCCTGTTCATAGAAATCTCCAGATTATATAACAGATATCTACTCTGAATTGATAGCAGGATGTGAGGAGGTGGAAGGTTGGCTTAATAGGCATTTTATTGTCAACAATTCAAATCAGTAGAAGAGTATCAAGTACCTACTATGTGCCAGGCTTTAGGAATACAAAGATAACGGCAAAAATCTGTCCCTCCCCTTAAAGAGCTTCTATTTTTCTGGAATAGCCCATTCAGAGATAAGTAAAATAACTGGAGGAGGAAGAGGACTCAGAAGGTCCAAAAGGGGTTTGCATAGCACTTGGCAGTCAGGCAGAGTCTTGAAGTCATCTAAGAATGTTAAGAGACGGTAAGTGTCCTGAGCGGGGCACAGCCTGGACAAAAAGGTAGAAATGGCCCAGAGAACATCCCCACCAGGGAACAGCAAGAGGGCATACGACAAACAGGTGGGTTTGTGGTTTGTCCTGGAGGCAGAAGGGAGCCTCAGGAGTTTCTTGGATTAGCAAAGGGATCAATTAGGAAGCTTTTGCAATAATCCAGATAAGTGGTGAGGACCTTAACTAGGGATCACAGGATCATAGTTCCAGGGCTCAGAAGGACCTTAGAGAACATCTAGTCCAGCCTTCTTATTGTATAGGTGAGGAAACCGAGGCCCAAAAAGGTTAGTGACTTGCCCAAGGTCACACTGGCAGTAAGTAGCAGAGCTGAAATTTGAACAAAATTTATGTGATTCCACATTAACTTTACAGTGCACCATTACTATTGTGATTTATCTGTCAATAAACATTTATTAAGCACCTACTAAGTGTCAGGGTTTGTGCTAAGCACAATACAACAAGAGGCAAAAGAGTCTCTGCCTTCAAGGATTTTATAATCCAATGGAGGAGATAACATAGAAACAAGTATGTTCAATAATCAACAGATGGAAGGCATTAGAATTAAAAGAGATTGGGAAATGCTTCCTGTAGAAAATAGGATTTTAATTGGGACTTTAAGGAAGCCAGGCAAGCTGTTGTGATTATCAAGAGTAGGGGGCCCCCAAGTAAGAGAGGTCATGGAGGTTGAATCCATGGGCCTTGGCCACTGATCGAAAATTGGGAGTGAAGGACAGGGGGAAGTATAGGATAACCCTGAAGTTGTGCACCCAGATAACTGGATTGGTGGCGATTCCCTGAAGAAAAATAGAGAAGTTGGGAGAAGGGACAGTTTTAAGAGGGAGAGGATAACAAGTTCTCATTTTCATGTGTTGAGTTTGATATGCCTGTGAGATTTTCTGGGGGGGGATGTGCATTAGGCAGTTGGTGATGTGACACTGGAGTGCCAGAGAGATATTAGGGCTGACACACAGTTTTGGGATTCATCTGTCTAGAGATAATAGTCAAAGCCATGGGAGCTGGTTCTGTCACCCAAAGAGAAGGGAAGAGGAGCCAGGCCAGAGCCCTCTCAGAGGGACACCTCTAAACAGGAGTTTAGTCACAGATGATGGATCCAGAAGAGCCGTGGACAGGTGAGAGGAGAAGGGGGAAGAACGGTGCCTCAATGGCGAGTTGTCTACTCTGGCTGGAATAGAACAGGGAAGGGGACAATTGTGAAATTAGTCTGGATGGAGAGGTTGGAGGCAGGCTATGACGAGCTTTAAAAACCAAGCAAGGTAGGTAGCGTTTTATCTTAGAGGCAGCAGTGAGCCACTGAACCTTTGTGAGCAGGAGTGGGATAGCATCAAGATGGTCTACTGTGTGAAAGTGAGGAAGAAGTCATGGAGGAGGCTTGGAGACCATAGAAAAGGTTTGGAACAGTCACTTGGGAAAGTCCCCCAGAGAGGCAATCTGACAAGTAAAAGGGCTGCCGTGCAGTGGTGAGGGCCCAGTTCAGATTATATGTAACATAAATCTGTAGTGGGCCCAGGCAGCACAGTTGAGTGTGGGATCAGAGAAGGCAGATGCTGGGGTAACCTAGGGCTGTAGTTTGATGAGCCATGAGTGATGTTCTTGGTGTTAGTCTGTCCTCATGTTCGTGTGCTTAGAGTGGAAACAACTGAGTTTCACATAGCTGTGGTGATTTGCCTACGGTCATACAGCTGGTAAATGTCTGAAGCTGGATCTGAACTTATGTTTTTCTAGGAAGTCTATCTGCTGTGCTACTAGCTGCCTGATATCAACTGGGCTCTCCCCAGTGCAAAGCAGTCTTTTTGCTGACTGACTTTCTATTAAAGTCCCCAGAACATCTGTTCTAAGCCTTCTCTTTTTAAGCCACCTGAACTACCACCTCTCCATCCCTCCCAGTAGAGGACCATACTTTATATTTAAACAGGAAAATGAAGGCCATTCATTTAACACTCACTTTCCTTCCCAAGTTACCTTTCTATTTTTCTCAACTCTCTTCTGCCTTTTTTCCAGTCTCTGAGGAAGGAGTGGGCCTTCTCCTTGGCAACTCCAACCCCTTGGAATTACAACGTGTTCCCTTGTCTCCATCCCTTCCAGTCTCCTCCCAGGGAAATGCCCTTTCAATCATTCCCTCTCTCCCCTGCTCAAGAAGCTCGAGACACTCTTTTTGCCCTTAGGAAAACATACAAACTCCCCCCCTTTTTTTGGTAGAGGGAGATGTATTTAGAACTCTTTACCACCTGGCTGCAGCCTACATTTCCAGGCTGCACTCCACACGTCACTCCTCTTTTTCCCCAAACTGGCTGACTTCTTGTTCCCCATGCACTATAGAAAAGTGAGATAGTCCCTGCCGTCATGGAATTTACATTCTCTTTGGGTGGGAGATTTACAGGATATTCACAGATGAGTAAGTACAGGTTATTTACAAAAGAAATATAAGTGATTGGGGGTGAGGGGAGGTGTTTTAATCACTGGAGGAATCAACAAAAGGTTCCTGAAGAAAATGGCACTTGATTTGGGCTTTGAAGGGAGCAGAAGTTTCCAAAAGGCAGAGGTGAGACCTGAGAGCATTCCAGGCATGGGAAACAGCCAGGGCAAAGGCTCAGAGGCTGGAGATGGTTGGTGAATTGGCTTGTCATTGGGGAAACATCAGGAGTTTTTTGCAAGAGAGCTTCATGATCAGAGAGTTGTGTGGGAAAGACCAAAAGAGGGTACTTAAAGACCAGTCATGGGGATGAGGATCTGAGCTAGGGCAGGGGCAGCTGGGGTGCAGACCACGGGGCTAGAATAGACTGGCCAAGATTTGAAGGGTGGCATCAGGGATGAGCCTGTGTGACTGGGCACCTAGAGGTCCTGCCTCTGGCAGAAAAGGGAAAGTGGAGAGTAAAGGATGGTAAAAAGCAAAAAGCCCTCATTTTTAGTGACAAGGAGCCATGCTCTGCACAGAGTGCGTCAGAGTGCTGTCCTATCAGGCAGGCAGACGGAGCACTGATTAAGTGCTTACTGTGTTCCAGGCCCTGTGCAAGGGGCTGTGGATACAAGGACAGAACAGAGAGTGCCTGGCTCCCCAGTGTTCTGTTAGAGAAGCTGGACGTCTCTTGGAGAGATGAAAAGTCAGATAATCAGATCGACTTTAATCAGCTTTGGAAGTTCAGTATGGAACTTTTAAAAAGAAAGCGAATGAATGAATGAAGCATTTATGAAGTACTTACTATTTGCCAAGCATGCTAAGCCCTGGGGATACATATAGAAAATACATATAGATGGCCTCCGCTCTTAGGAAGCTCACCTTTTTTCCCCCACTTAATAATATTTTATTTTTTCCAATTACATGTAAAGATAGTTTTCAACATTTACTTTTATAAGATTTTGAGTTCCAGATTTTTTCTTCTCTCCCCTCCCCCTACCCAAGACAGCATGCAATCTGATATAGGCTATACATGTACCATCATATTAAACATATTTCCACATTAGTTATGTTGTAAAGAAGAATCAGAATAAAAGAGAAAAACCACAAGAAAGAAAAAAAAGAGAAAATGGTATGCTTCAAT